TAAATATATCCTTTGCAGTTCCATTTAAAATAATTTTACTAATTACTAATTTTTCTTGATTTGAAAATTCCGAAATTAACATGGGATTTAAAAACAACTAATACTGAACTTCAACTTGTTTAACCACTGTACCAAAAGGAAAGATTGTCAGAAAATTTTATCATGTTTATTTATATAAAAATTTCTGGAAGTACATTAAATGAGAACCATTTTTTGACTGAAGGCAGTATTTTTTTAATAAGCATACACTATTTTTGATGTTAAAACACAGCATTGTTTAGATTGGATGGCAAAATTTCAGAGACTTTTAATGACAAATAGTAGACTTGTGACATGAATTTTTTTTTTACAAAAAAATTCAATAGTTCAACAAATCTGAACCAATTTTACCTTGATGATCAATGTTTTAAAAATGATTAAATTTATAATCTTTCCTCACAAACAATGGAGAATGATTAGTCTGAAAAGGCGCAATGACTCATTCTCCTGTTAATTAGCATTCAAATATAAGCCTGGAAGGCAGAATGGGGTTTTTTTAAATTATAGTCGGCTAAACTTTTGAACAATCTGGCAACATCTGTCAATTTTTTCAAAGAAGCAAAAATTATGTAGAAAATTTACATTTCAAATTAATGTCCTCAATTTGTCATTATATTTCAGTGTCTGAATAAAATTATTTCGAGGACACATTAAGTGGATAAAAGCAAAAAATAGTTAGATCCATTGTTTCAGGACCCATGGAGTAAGTTCAATTTATTTAAAACGGTAGAACTTAGAGAAATAAAACAAAAGATATAATATGACATTTTTTTTTATGATGTGGAACTAGAATAGTCTACCCCATGAGCGAAAAAAGGGTTCAGTTTGACATTCCAACTACCTGAAATAAGGCCGGAGCGTAAAAACACCTGAATGAGATTAATATGGCGACAAAGATGAGGACAATAGTCTGAGAATAATAGTAAATAGTGTATTAAATGGGCAATATAATAATTTTGCCAGATGTTACCATTATTATTGTTGTTTAAAATGTGTATTGATAAAAATTTAATAGATAAAAATGCATGGACGATAGATATAATGACAGAAATTGAGGACGATTTTCAGACCAAAAATTAGTAACAGTGCCAGTTTGAAAATGTTTGGAAAAACCAATGAACGCATTTAACGTGACATGAAATGTACATTTTCAGAGTCAAACCGTTCTATGCGTGATAATATTTCGATGACATGACTGACGTGAATCAGATTTTTTTCTGTAGATTGCCATTTAATTCTGCGGTATACCGAAATTAACTTAGAATTTTTTATCCATGGATTTTTCATCTCCTAAGATTTGTTTCTTGTTAAAGGGCAAGACAGCATCCAGAATTGTATTCTCTAATTTGGTAAATCGCAATTCATCTCTCATTGTCAATTCCCTTTTAAAAATGGCGAATTATGATGCCGTTACAAAACGTCTTATGTTTTATAGCGTAAAAAATAATTCTTTGATAACAGTAAGATATTCATTTATCCGAACATCGATTATGTGTATGTTATCCGCCATTTCATTCTGATCCCACCTTTTATATAAATACCGCAAGCATTCCTTTTTTCGCATTAAGTTTCCAAAAGGTCTAAAATTTGATTCTAAGACATAAGTTTCCTTTTTAACCTTTTGTTATTCTTAAAATATCCTCCTCCTCAATTATTATAAATCTATGGTTCTCAACACGCTACTTCATTGGCACTTTTTCACTTTTCAAGTCAACAACTCTGTTAACAAAAATTTCAATTCTGATCTATAATAAAAAACATTTTAAAATTCTATTCTTCAATGCAAATTTAAATGGAAATTATATAATCGTCAAAATATATGCATTTTTTTCATAAAATAACATTTCTGTGAAATTTTTAATATTATTATTATTAAGAGAAATGTTATTAAGACGAAGATTTGGCTATATGTTATAAATTATATGAAGGAATATCATTGGATAATAGGATATTGGATACAATTTAATGAATCTTATACCTGATGTCGCCACGTTCTTCGTTGTCATTAATTAATTCAGGGAAAAATAATATATATAGCTATAAATACAGAACGTGAGCAAAGAAAAATTGTTCAAATGAAAATTTTTTTTCACGGTTTTTTTAAAATATTCAATTCAAAAAGAAACATTAATGTGAACGCATGCATCGTGACACGAAATTATTTTAGAAAACCGTATCCGTTCATTTTCTGATTTTTTTTTTTTTTTTTTTTTATAAACAAACTTGCATGGCATCCAATAGCAAAAAAGTCTTCGACGAAGAAATTAAAAGCTTTCTGCCATCATCGAAAAAAAAATGAACTAAAGGGTGATGTTAATGTGTTTTTTGAAAAAAATAATAGATATATTTACATTAATTAATATGTATATTTTCAAAATGATTTTTTAAATAAATAAATCTCGTTTAATATTTCCTAATTTTCACAAAATTGATGTTGGATTCGCAAAAATTCCTTTTGTCAGCTATAATGAACAATCCATTCGAAGCCTCACCCCTATCATCTGCAGAACAGATTTAGGTTTGTTCGGTCCACTGCTGATATCATAATCAAACAAAATTTGAACTATTAAAAATTCAAATTTAAATTCAAAAAGAAAAATAAATTTTTTAATGAAAATATTTTATATTTAAAGGCATTTGTTAAAAAAAATCAAACGATTACTGCAAATTTTCTAGCTATGGGAAAACTTTTGTAGAAAAGTCTTCAAATTTATTTTTCTCAAAATCCTTCTTAATAAATTTATTTTTGGTAATTGTTTCCGTGATCCACTGAAATTTGTCCAAGTGATCAACACAGCTGTTTTCTGGTTTGAAAAATTCCACAAAAAAAAATTTTTTTTTTTTTTTAAGCATTTCACCCCAAGCAAGGCGGGAAGCCACTAGGACGCAAGGGGTTACAGAAAATTTAGAGCAAGATCAGATAGGAGTGATAGAAGAAAGGATGAGGGTAGTGGATAGATCAAGGCAACTGGAGATGTCGATTGACATTACATTTGAATAGCTGGAGATTATAGCTCTCAGGGAAACTGGAATAGGGAAGGGAGTTCCACAGGCGAGAGGTGCGAGACATGAAGCTATTAGAGTAGAAGAGACGGCTACATTTAGGAGTTTCGACAGTGAAGGGGTGAGAGCGGGATGCCAGCCTCGTAGGGCGCTGGAACTCATGACGTCTGGGAACCAGCGAATGCAGCTCCTCGGAGCAATTTCCATGAAAGTATTTGTAGAACAGACAGAGGGAGGCGACGGCGCGTCTGTGAGAAAGTGACTGTAGACGAGATGCCAGATCAGGGCCAATTATATTGCATATCCGCCTCTGGAGCCTATCAAGAACCCCGAGGCAAACAGAAGGGGCACCAGACCATCCCTCCGCAGGGGAGTCCTTTTTAAAACTTTAGGTATTTGCGGATTTTAAGCTAGTTAGAAATGAATCACATGCTGCGACATATGTTAATTCCACTGGCATTGGTAATTATACTATACCAAGACTTCAATTTTTTTTATTCTAGAATCTTCATTTCTCGAAAGAAAAATAAATTTTTCATTTCTTTCTAAGATATATTCTTTATTATGATCTTCTGTAACAAGAATAGCTTCGGAAAAATTATCTTGACTCTTTTAGTAGTACGGCTCGCCTTGTGATGAGTCTTAGGTCATACGGTGCACCGGTTGAAAAAGGTTACCCATGCCTGAAACAGACGTTCAGCGTAAATAAATGTGACGTTGATTTCGATTTAAAGAATTCAGTTTAAATTAAAAGTGAAAACAATTTATTAAGGCAAAAGTGTATAGAAAGTGCACTAATTTCTGAGTCTTTCGTGATAAATTTACCTTCAGCTTCATAAATCGAATGTTTTAACAAGCCTATTATAAACAACCTGAAATAACAGTTAGTAACTACTCAAGTTACACGCGATTAAAAATTAAATAAATGTTATATCTGACGTACCTATTCTATTATTAATAGACTCTCCCAGACATAATAAGTAGTAGTAGTAGTAGCAGTCGCCAGTTGGGCTCAGTGGTGTGGTGTTGAGTGAGTCTGTCGGACATTGAAGTATCAACCACCACAACTAGATTGCTGCGTGATTAACTCTTATTTCAAGTTCCTAACGTTTTGTACGTCGAACCTAATCTAGGACGACTTACTGAAATACAAGCCTCCACTGTGAAAACTACTCTACAACAGTGGCGACGAGGGATTCGTTTCTCACACTGGAAAAGAAATTTTTTTCGTTTATTCTACAACAATAATTAACACATTTAAAGTTAAATTTAAATATCAAACAGAGTGAAAGGTTTAAAAAAAAACAATTCTTTATTAAACTTTAATTTCGCTTTTCGTCGCAATTGTAATTGATATCTTCTAATTAAACCGTAATTAAAATTTAAGCGGGGCACGGTACGTTGCTCATATGTTTTTTTCTTTTCTTTTTCTAACATGAGTATTCGAAATATTACATAGTTCGGGTTTCCTAATGTCTTTTAAGGGTTACTTTATGGAGAGAGACAATAAACAATGGTGATTTTAAAGGAAAATAAAAATTGGGCGGAAAATAAATGCAAACAAACTACATGGATGGATTGCGTATACGAAGAAAGATTATGCCGAATTAAAGTGTCGAATAAAGGTAAAATAATTTTTTTTATTCCTAAATTCTGAACGCTGAAGGTAAAAGGCCGAATGCTCAACAATGAAAAGAAGGGCGGCTTCTTGACTAGTAAAGAAAATGGCTATTCATTTTATTCTTTTCTTTTTTGAAGCTCATCATTTTTAATCCCCTTAAAAAAAAATGTTTCTGATCGTGATTCATATAAACGGAACAGTTTTTTTTTTTTTTTCTTATGAAAAATGAAACACCGATAGCAGAATGAAGATTGATCAACTTCAACATTCTTTTCTTTCTGACTTATTTTTTGCTTCCTGCTTGTTTAACTTGCTGTTGGTGGGTAATTGAATGACAATGTCTTTCTCCTCTACCCACTTTCTTTCACCTCGTTTTTCATACAGATATGTACAAACAGAATTACTCTGACTTTCAATTTCCTGTTGTTATTGCAGCCAGGAGTGTGTATATTCAATACATCAAGTGAAGTGGGGGTGGTGCTGTCTAGGGCAACAGGATGCATTTCTTGCAGGCGAAAAGTGGGCTGGGTGCGACTGACATGAATTATCAAATTATTCTCTCTCTCTCTCTCTCTCTCTCTCTCTAAATATATATATATATATATATATATATATATATATATATATATATATATATATATATATATATATCCTCTTATATCTATGTATCTATCCATCTATCTCAGTTTCTTCATATCTATCTATCTATATATCTATGTCTTTTTATATCTACCTATTTAGATATACCAGTCTTTTCTATCTATCTCAGACATCTTATCTTTTTCAATCTCTTCATATCTATCTATCTATCTATCTATCTATCTGTCTATCTATCTAAGTCTTTTCATATTTATCTATGTCGGTCTCTTCATATCTATCTCAGTGTCTTCATATCTAGCTATCTATCCAAATCTTTTCGTATCTCTCTGTCTCTCTCTCTCTCTCTATCTATCTATCTATCTATCTATCTATCTATCTATCTATCTAAATCTTTTCATATTTATCTATCTATCTCGGTTTTTTCATGTCTATCTCAGTTTCTATCTAGCTACCTAGCTATCTATCCAAGTCTTTCTATCTATCTATCTCAGTTTGTTCATACCTATCTATCTAACTCTTTTCATATCTATCTCAGTGTTATCTATCTATATCAGTCACTTCATATCTATCTATCTATCTATCTATTTTCGTATCTATCTATTTATCTATCCAGCTATCTATCTCAGTCTCTTCATATCTATCTATCTATCTATCTATTCATCTATCGCAATCTCTTCTATCTATCAGTCTCTTCATATCTATCTCAGTATTATCTATCTATCTATCTATCTATCTATCTATCTATCTATCTATCTCTGTCACTTTATATCTATCTATCTATCTATCTATCTATCTATCTATCTATCTATTTCAGTTTCTTCATATCTATCGTTGTCCATAGGTGAATTTCTTCCCATTATTGCACTTATATTACCTGCTCCATTCTACTTATTAAAGTAGTCTTGCGGGATCACAGTTTCATTATGTTTCGGTCCCCTGACGTCATCGAGAAACCAGAATTAGGATTATCTCGACTAAACGTAAGAATTATCAGTTTACGTAATCCATTCATCCCATCAAGTCCATTTTTAAATTTAAACAACGCAGTGTGTTTGAAGCAACTGAAAGTAAAGTTTCCTCAATAAAATTAAATCAGATTGAAAATGTGGAGGAAGGAGGAAAGGGCAAGAAAGAAACAGGTGGTAGAGAGTTTGACCAGCACAGCGGGAAAGGAATCTCTAACTCTAGACCAACATACAGTATTTACTACATTTTCCCCATTGAGCTGTTAAAGCTAAGTCAGACGAAAGATCAGCTTCACATATATTTGCAAATGATCTGTGAATGCCCGTAGACAGATTGATAATATAAAATGGAAAGAGGGTAGAATAAAGGAAATAAATTTGTTGGACAACTCTTTGTACTCATAATGGAATACAAATTGAATGGGGATGTTTTGTCCCAGTGTATTTGCTATGGTCGGTCTTCTGTCCGAACCAACAAATTTAATCTTTACTAATACTACCACACCTTGTTTTGCCATCCATTTATATGAACTCTTTAGGTCGTTTACTCGATGTTAGTATCCGCTCTGCTTGCTATCAATATATGAGTCTTAAATTCTCCAACCCTCTTTCCTCATTAGGTGCCCTAGAAATGTCAAATCTTTCTTATTTCTAAGTCGAATCCTTTTTTCAAGTTTTCAAAAATTTCTTCGTTTGTATTTCAATTTATTACTGAGAATCAATCAAATCTGCCTCAAAGACTTCTCTTTATTCGCGTGTAGATGGCCCAAAATTCACTTTCCATATTCGATAATGATATTGCCACAATAATTCAGATTATTTTCGTTTTCTCTCCTTCAAATCTCCTCTTCATCTGTGAGAAATTGTCCATCATTCACTTCATATGGGAGGATCGAAATTTAGCAGTTCAGCAATTTTTTTTTTTTTCTCTTGCTTCAAGTCTCTTCATCTGTGAGGAAATTGTCCATCATTCACTATATAGGAGGATTACAAAGTTCAGCAATCTTTTCTTTGTTTCTCTTGTTTCAAAAAATGTCCTCTTCATCTGCGAGAAATTGTCCAGCATTCACTGCCATAAAGGAGGATTGATATTACATAAGTTCAGCACTCTTTTCTTTGTTTCTCTTGCTTCAAGTCTCCTCTTCATCTGTGAAGAAATTGTCCATCATTCACTGCCATATAGGAGGATTGATATTGCATATGGTTCATTATGCAATCTTTTCTTTTGTTTCTCTTGCTTCAAGTCTTTTCTCTTCATCTGCGAGGAAATTGTCCAGCATTCACCCATATAGGAGGATCGATATTACATAGAATTCAGCACTCTTTTCTTTTAGAAAATTGCTTCAAGTCTCCCTTCATCTTGAAATTTTGCATTCATTGCCACATAGGAGGATTTATTACATGCAAACACTTTTTTTTGTTTCTTTGCTTTAAGTCTCCTCTTCATCTGTGAGGAAATTGTCCAGCATTCACTTTCATATAGGGAGGATTGATATTTTTAGCAGTTCAGCAATCTTTTCTTTTGTTTCTCTTGCTTCAAGTCTCCTCTTCATCTGCGAGGAAATTGTCCAACATTCACTGCCATATAGGAGGATTGATATTGCATAGCAGTTCAGCAAAATTTTCTTTGTTTCTCTTGCTTCAAGTTTTCTCTTCATCTGCGAGGAAATTGTCCATCATTCACTGCCATATAGGAGGATTGATATTACATAGCAGTTCAGCACTCTTTTCTTTGTTTCCACTTGCTTCAAGTCTCCTCTTCATCTGTGAGGAAATTGTCCAGCATTCACTGCCATATAGGAGGATTGATATTACATAGCAGTTCAGCACTCTTTCTTTTTCCTCTTTGCTTTGTCTCCTCTTCATCTGTGAGGAAATTGTCCATCATTCACTGCCATATAGGAGGATTGATATTACATAGCAGTTCAGCACTCTTTTCTTTTGTTTCTCTCTTTGCTTCAAGTCTCCTCTTCATCTGTGAGGAAATTGTCCATCATTCACTGCCATATAGGAGGATTGATATTACATAGCAGTTCAGCAATTCTTTTCTTTGTTTCTCTTGCAAGTCTCCTTTCATCTGTGAGGAAATTGTCCAGCATTCACTGCCATATAGGAGGATTGATATTACATAGCAGTTCAGTTCTTTTCTTTGTTTCTCTTGCTTCAAGTCTCTTTCTTCATCTGTGAGGAAATTGTCCATCATTCACTGCCATATAGGAGGATTGATATTACATAGCAGTTCAGCAATCTTTTCTTTGTTTCTCTTGCTTCAAGTCTCCTCTTCATCTGTGAGGAAATTGTCCAGCATTCACTGCCATATAGGAGGATTGATATTACATAGCAGTTCAGCACTTTTTTCTTTGTTTCTTCTCTGCTTCCAGTCTCCTCTTCATCTGTGAGGAAATTGTCCATCATTCACTGCCATATAGGAGGATTGATATTACTGCCATAACAGTTCAGCAATCTTTCAGCACTCTTTTTCTTTCTTTCTTGCTTCAAGTCTCCTCTTCATCTGTGAGGAAATTGTCCAGTATTCATTGTCCTATAGGAGGATTGATATTACATAGCAGTTCAGCAGTCTTTTCTTTGTTTCTCTTGCTTCAAGTCTCCTCTTCATCTGTGAGGAAATTGTCCAGCATTCACTGCCATATAGGAGGATTGATATTACATAGCAGTTCAGCACTCTTTTCTTTGTTTCTCTGCTTCAAGTCTCCTCTTCATCTACAAGGAAATTGTCCAGCATTCACTGCCATATAGGAGGATTGATATTACATAACAGTTCAGCACTCTTTTCTTTTTTCCTCTTGCTTCAAGTCTCCTCTTCATCTGTGAGGAAATTGTCCAGCATTCACTGCCATATAGGAGGATTGATATTACATAGCAGTTCAGCACTCTTTTCTTTGTTTCTCTTGCTTCAAGTCTCCTCTTCATCTGTGAGAAATTGTCCATCATTCATTGCCATATAGGAGGATTGATATTACATAAAGTTCAACAATCTTTTCTTTGTTTCTCTTGCTTCAAGTCTCCTCTTCATCTGTGAGGAAATTGTCCAGCATTCACTGCCATATAGGAGGATTGATATTACATAGCAGTTCAGCACTCTTTTCTTTGTTTCTATTGCTTCAAGTCTCCTCTTCATCTGTGAGGAAATTATCCAGCATTCATTGCAATATAGGAGGATTGATATTACATAGCAGTTCAACACTTTTCTTTGTTTCTCTTGCTTCAAGTCGCCTCTTCATCTGTGAGGAAATTGTCCAGCATTCACTGACATACAGGAGGATTGATATTACATAGCAGTTCAGAACTCTTTTCTTTGTTTCTATTGCTTCAAGTCTCCTCTTCATCTGTGAGGAAATTGTCCAGCATTCACTGCCATATAGGAGGATTGATATTACATAGCAGTTCAGCACTCTTTTCTTTGTTTCTCTTGCTTCAAGTCTCCTCTTCATCTGTGAGGAAATTGTCCAGCATTCACTGCCATATAGGAGGATTGATATTATATAACAGTTCAACACTTTTCTTTGTTTCTTTTTGCTTCAAGTCTCCTTTCATCTGTGAGGAAATTGTCCATCATTCACTTTTCTTTTGATTTTACATAAAAGTTCAACACTCTTTTCTTTGTTCAAGTTCTTCAAATCTCCTCTTCATCTGATTTCTGAATTGTCCAGCATTCACTGCCATATAGGAGGATTGATATTACATAGCAGTTCAGCACTCTTTTCTTTGTTTCTCTTGCTTCAAGTCTCCTCTTCATCTGTGAGGAAATTGTCCATCATTCACTGCCATATAGGAGGATTGATATTACATAGCAGTTCAGCACTCTTTTCTTTTGTTTCCCTTGCTTCAAGTCTCCTCTTCATCTGTGAGGAAATTGTCCAGCATTCACTGCCATATAGGAGGATTGATATTACATAGCAATTCAACACTTTTCTTTGTTTCTCTTGCTTCAAGTCGCTCTCTTCATCTGTGAGGAAATTGTCCAGCATTCACTGATATATAGGAGGATTGATATTACATAAGAGTTCAGAACTCTTTTCTTTTGTTTCTCTTGCTTCAAGTCTCCTCTTCATCTGTGAGAAATTTGTCCAGCATTCACTTGCCATATAAACAGGATTGATATTACATAAGAAACAACACTTTCTTTGTTTCTCTTTTAATCAAGTCGCCTCTTCATCTGTGAGGAAATTGTCCAGCATTCACTGATATATAGGAGGATTGATATTACATAAATTTTCAACACTCTTTTCTTTTTTTCTCTTGCTTCAAGTCTCCTCTTCATCTGTGAGAAATTGTCCAGCATTCACTGCCATATAGGAGGATTGATATTACATAGCAGTTCAGCACTCTTTTCTTTGTTTCTCTTTGCTTCAAGTCTCCTCTTCATCTGTGAAGAAATTGTCCAGCATTCACTGCCATATAGGAGGATTGATATTACATAGCAGTTCAGCACTCTTTTCTTTTTGTTTCTCTTGCTTCAAGTCTCCTCTTCATCTGTGAAGAAATTGTCCAGCATTCATTGCAATATAGGAGGATTGATATTACATAGCAGTTCAGCACTCTTTTTTTTGTTTCTCTTGCTTCAAGTCTTCTTCATCTGTGAGGAAATTGTCCAGCATTCACTGCCATATAGGAGGATTGATATTACATAGCAGTTCAACACTTTTTCTTTTGTTTCTCTTTGCTTCAAGTCTCCTCTTCATCTGTGAGGAAATTGTCCAGCATTCACTGCCATATAGGAGGATTGATATTACATAGCAGTTCAACACTTTTTTCTTTGTTTCTGTTGCTTCAAGTTTCCTCTTCATCTGTGAGGAAATTGTCCAGCATTCACTGCCATATAGGAGGATTGATATTACATAGCAGTTCAGCACTCTTTT